TATTTTTTTCATAAGATCTGTGTGTGGTCAAAGTTTAAAGCAAATCTGAGGTGGTACCCTGGAGTTACTTTCAAAAAACTAGGTGATTTGATATGGTATAACCCCCTAATATCTTTAATATGTTTTATCAAATTAAATTTTTTATTAAAATCAAACCTTGTTAAAAAAATTAAATTCTGCTATGTATCTTATTGTTTGAAAAAAAAATTATTTTTAATTTCTTTATTTATAAATTACAGGTTGTTTTAAATTTTATTTTTTATTTAGAATAATAAAAATAAAAATGGTAAAGCGAATGTCTCATTACCAACATTGTACCAACAATTCTACTCTTGATAATAAAAATACATATATTAAAGGAACAAAAAGGAATGTTTTATTAGAATTTTATATAAAATGATATAAAAACTTCAAAATGAACGCTTTATTTAAATTCTAAACAACGAAACAACAACAAAAAAAGACGAAAAAGAATTTTTATTTAAATTCTGAACAAAAATTTTAACTAAAACAGCAAAAAGAAACGTTTTATTTGAATTTTAAACAAAAATTTAAACTAAAACAGCAAAAAGAAACTTTAAATTCTAAAAAAAAAATTAAAAATAGGAAAAACAGGAAAAAGAAACCTTTTATTTAAATTCCATATAAAATAATATAAAAACAGCAATTTTATTTAAATTCTAAATAAAATAAATTAAAGCAAGGGAAAAAACAAAAAGAGGTTTTTTAGATTAAAATAAAAAATGATTAAAATAAAAACAGCAAAGTGAACATTTTATCACTTAAATTTTTTTGGCAAGGGTATTTTTAAGTGCTCGCCAATGTTATTTTTTTGCCCTTCTTGATTTTTTCTTCTGTATTTTGTCTTCTATCCAGTCTTCTTTATTTTGGCCCCTGGCCAAACAAAGAAGATTCCATATTATAAATTATCATCAATTTAGTAGTAAATCAAACATGCTTCAAATTGTTTTATTTAGTAAACGCTATTCTTGCTTTTTGTTCAGAAAAATTTTTTTATATAGCAGGTTTGTTTAATAGTTTTTGCCCGTAGTCAAACAGTAAAGTTTTTTTGATTTGCTTTAAAATATTGAAAAAATGTTCACTGGAAGCTGTTGATTCCAACAAACTGATGAAAATATGTGGTGCAATTCTAATATTCCAGAAAACTCCAATCTTTGAAAGTTGTTAGCAGCTTACTCTTTTCATTTAGACATACTGTGTTCAAATATTTCTTTGAACAATTCAATAGATGTCCATTTAAGTTAAAAATTGGTTAAAAATCATAAAATCCTTTCAAAAAAAAAATATTGTTGTGATTTCAAATCTTGTGCAATTTTATTGTAATTCTGCTGTTAAAAGTAATTAGCAGCCAAAACTCAATCTTTGTCACTTCATTTTTTAAACTCCTAAAAAAATCTAAAAGTCCTACAAACTTCTTGCAATACTTTAAGTCTATGTGTGAGCCTTGATTGAATTTGAATGAGTTGACATAATTGACTGAGTCAATTATAAAAAAATAGATTAATTTTAAAAGACAGCTCTGCTTTAGCTTCACTTTGCAAATGAAAATTGGTTTAAAATTCATCTAATATGCTAATATTTGTTGCTACTTTTAAATGAAGTGACTCAAGTTTATTCAGCGAACTTTTTAATGAATTTCAATGCAGCACATCTGGTATAATACTGTTGATCTTAGCTGACCACATGGTTTTAGAGATTCTATGGAATTCAATGAGTTTGGAAAATGTTGTTATAAAATATCAAACTGCTGAGAGTACTGCTGAATAAATTGTACATTTTCTGAATGGTCCTAAAATACTCCTTACTGCTTCTTTGCACAACTCAGTGTAATCAATAGTGAATCTTGCAAAGCAAAAAGTTGGAGTACAATTTCCACAATTTTTAATGGTGCTTGCAAGGAAATATATAGATTTCCCTACCATATTAGGACCATTGTTATATATGCACTATTGTTATTGTCTGGCTTATGCATGTTTGAAGATCAAAATTTAAAATTTCTAAAATTTGAAGTGTTCAAGCAGCAATCTGAATTAGGAAAACAGCCCTCTGAATTAGGAAAAGCCCTCTGAATTAGGAACAGCCCTTTGAATTAGGAAAAACGAAGCCAACAGCCCTCTGAATTAGGAACCCAACAGCCCTCTGAATTAGAAAAAAACTAGGTCCGCAATATTTTGCCGACTTTAATCTGTTAGAAGTCTGCATCAGATTGACAAAAAAAATTTGATACAAGGTTTATCCATAAAACATAGAATCTAAGTCCACGATTTTTTGCCGACCTCAAATACTTCTATGTTGGCATTGGCAAATGTCGACCCTAATTCTGAGGGCTTAATGTATCTTCCTGTCTTTTTTGTGAAGTTGTCAATAATCTTTAACAAAAATTTTTGTCTAAAATGTTAACATAACAAATAAATAAAGTAGTTTGTTCTTTGTAAGAACAATATGGAGTGGTATCAACTGTTACAGAAAAATATTTGGCCCATAAATTCTCATCAAGAATTTCTTTTTTTGCCAGTGAGACACATAGGTTAGGAGTTCCTTTTGAATTCTTTTTGAATTCGCCTAGAAATGATATGAACTTTTTTTTGTCAATAAATTTGCATTTTTTTACTTAGATTGTTAGGATTCTTAACATGCTTAAATAAAAGTAGATCATATTTTCCAAAGAAGAAGTTCGATTATGCCCAAAATAGTTCCATTTGAACAGTCACCAATCTGTTATTTTTTGAACTTGTAAAAGCTAAACCAAGTTCAGATAGTAAAGAATAATATGTGCTCAAGAAGTTTTTTCTAATATTCAGCGTCAGTCTTAAGTTCAGCTATATATGATTTATTAACTGATGTTTTGCTGTCTTGCGTGCAATATAGTTAACTTTGACTTTTAATGTGACAGAATACAATGTTTTAATTAAAAAAATAAATAATACAACAACAAAAAAGTTAAAAAAAAAAAAGTAAAATAAAATTAAAAAAAAAACAATGTTATAATGTTAAATTATGTACTAGATTAAAACAAATTGAAAAAAAAGCTACAATGTATATAAAAATACTCACTAGCTACAATTTATATAAAGATAGTTTAAATCGTATAACAAATTATAAAGTATTACAATAAGTAAATTCTTAAAATCTTAAAAAAACTTTTTTAAATTGAATAATTTTACAAATTAAGTCTTAATGAAAAATTAACTTATTAAGTTGCTGAGTTAAAAATAAATTCTAAACATGGTGAACAGTATACAATTATCTTGTTTATTTTATTTCTCATTCCTTCATTGCATTTTTGTCTGTATGCAAATAGAATTCACAAACAAGAAAAGAATTACCGATGTAGCAAGTTATAACAATTTTCTTTGGAATAACAAACTTAAGCTCTGGAAGGTGCTTGAACAGTATTGAGTTCCATGGTAGTTGTGATTTGTTGAATGGTGGAATATCTTCCACCGTAACTGAAGGTTTTCTTATATCTCTAGGATATACACTATTTTTTACTAATTTATTGCTGCTATTTACTACTGCTAGCTTATTACTGCTATGTTCTTTAATAACATTGATATTAGTGCAATCTGTTGCACAAATATCAATATTCACAACAAAAAGTTGCAGCTGTTTTTGTTAAAAGATCTGTTTTTCTTCTTTATTGAGTGAGTATAACAGTTTTTTAGTAATATAATCATTTTTATCTGAATCCACTTCTTCATATGACTTGTTTGATACTGTGTTAGTTTTAAAATCTTCAATCCACATTGTCTTTCTCTTTTAGGTTTACATGATTCTGGATTTTCAAGTTTCTTTCAACATCTCTTTTATCTTTGTCAGTTTTTTTTTGTGAACCAATTACTTTAGATGCTACATGACTTATATCAAACAACTTAATCAAGCTTTCTGTTCAAATTCTCTAAAGTTTTCGAAATTCACTTCCTCTAATTTAATTTTTCATCAAATTAAAATAGTACACATTAACAAATTTCTTTACTAAATGATCTTTACGTTGAGTTGGGAAATGAAATGTCCACTAAAATAGCATAAGGTGGTCAGAAACTCATTGTGTGTTGTCTTTTTTGGTCTTTTTTAATGTTAAATAATGAAAAATTTAGTATAGTATTTCGCCTTGACGGCTAACAGGCTTCTGTTAAATGTACTAGTGGATGTTCAATTAATTAAACATTACTTCTAGTTAAACAATTATTAGTTACTTTGTGCCATTTTCATGATTTCAGAAGATTGCTGTTTAGTATTTATCATTAATAATTCATTTTTTTTACCGAAAAAAAATAGAAAGTAACTTTAAAATCATTATTATTATATATTATTATTCAATTAGGTGTCAGAGAAAGTTAATGATGAGTATCTATAAATCTCTGTATGTAAATAATGTAACATCTCTGTATGTGAGCATCTATGTACCATTTTAAACTTCTCACAACTATCATTCTGTATCTTTCTGCAGCAATCTGTAAATCTCAGAGTATCTATGTGCCATTAAAACTTTTATTAACGCATTTTCTAGACATTCAAGTTAATCTGTTATTAGATATTCTAATCACTCCAGCTTCAATTAGCAAAATTGTTTTTCATTTAAAATCTTGTACAGGTTGTTGTGTTCTTGTTGCTTTCTAGCAAAGGTGTTGCAGAGTTCTATTTAATACTCCTAAAACTTTTTTTTGAATTTTTTTTTTTTTTATAAAATTTTATGGAAACCATCTATCCATGTAATACAATGCAAAAGTATCTGCAAAGCTAGTCTTACTTTATTGTGGTCATCATATTTTTTTTGTTATTGATTTCATTATCTATCCATTGTTTAATAATCTGTAAATATTTTTTTTTCTTTGATGTGATGCTGTATTAGTTTCTTTTTGATTGATTTGATTTATTATTTAATTTTGGTATGTTATATATTTATAGTTAGTTATTCATAATTATGTTAATTATTCCTGTTAGTTATTGCTATATATGAGAATGTTTATTATTCTTAGTTAAATCCTGATGACCAAAATGTTTTTATTCAAACAAATGACAATGAACAATACCAATGCATAGTTCCGGATGCAAAAGATGAATATCAAGTAACTTTTTTTAAAACTACATTTTTATTGCATGTTCTTAAACTTTGATCTTGCGTATTGAATTTATTGTTTTAAGGATGATGCTTACATTGAAGGTTATCAATCTCCAGAGGCCTTATTTCAAAATCTTTTTTTTAGTTCAACTGCTATTTGTTCTCTAAAGGTAAGTTATTATTGAAAAGTAAAATGAAGAGCCCATTTACTAAAGATGTTAAGTCTGAATAAAGTCATTAAGAGAAAACATTGAAAAATTTAAATAGATTATAGATTTCACTATATAGAATGTGGAAATGGAATTAAATTAAATTTTTATTTTGGTGGCTTTGCATGATGGGCTCCTCAAATAATTTTAATGTCGTCTAAAATTATCTTGCAATAAAATTAATCAATATGTTTAAATGATTTTTTTATATTTATTTGTTTTATAATGTTTTATTAAATTATTATCAATAAATAATATATATTTCAATTAATTTTAGCTAGAACCTTATTGGACATATCAATTATGTCATGGTTATTCAATAACACAATATCATGAGGAGAGTTACACTGATGAAGGAATCACCAAGGTAACATAAAATGATTTTTGTACTTGGCAACGTAGAAGGATTTTAGTTCTTGTGAATGAGAAGATGAATAGCAAAATGTTAAACTTTTGTTATAGCTTCATCGTGTTAGTGAATTTAATCTTGGTGTCTTCAGTCCAGAGGAACGTCTAGGTGATTTTTTAAATAAATTGCAAATTTTGTAAACAGACCTTTGTTATTGCAAAATATTTATACAATCTCATACAAAACAAAAAAAGTTAAACTTTAGAAGAATTCCATATTAACAACCTGTATTTTAATAAAAGAATAATGAATACAGAAAATTACAATCTTTTTGCTGTTTTAGATTATGTCAACTGAGTCTGCTTCTTCTTTATACTCAGGTTTGCTACATCATATGGAATGAGTGATTGCTTTATCTAACTAGAAATATGAAAACTTTATCTAACTAGAAATATATTCTCTGCATATTTGCTTCAGAGCAATGGCTATGCAGCATTAATTGTTTGACAATTGTTTTGAAAAACTTTTTTCACTAAAATTATTTAACTAACTTTTTAGTTCAAAAATTTGTCAAAAAATTGTAAATTTTTTCACAAACCAATAGCAAAAAACACTCAGAAATTTTTGGAATTTTTAAAGGAAATTTAATTAAATTTCTGGAATTCCGGAAATTCCTGGAAAAACACTCATCTATGCATAATATGGAATTTTTTACCCAAAAACATATCTACCGGCTGCTGTATTCACATCTCTACATTAAGCTTAACAGAGTTTTTGTCTGAAATTTATTATTTCTAAGTAAAGAAATGAAGAAAGCTTTATTTAAATTTGTTTAAATAAAACATGTCTAAAAAATTATATTTTCAAAGAATTTTTTTATTAATGTTGAACAACTTAATGGAGAGATGAGAATACAGTCACTGTCTTCTTATTTGTTAATGCTTTTTTAGAGTTTAAGAAGAAAGCAAGTTTACCAGTTTTGGAAAAAGAAAAAATGGTATTATAAGTAAAAAAAAAAAAATGATGATTTTGATGATGATTATGTTGTTAATGATGTTGTTGTTAATGATATTATTGTTGTTGATGATGATGATAATGATGATGACAATGATGATGATGGCGATGATAATGATTATTATGATTTTGCTGCTACTGCTGCTGCCAATGATGATGATGATGATGATGATGATGATGATGATGATGATGATGATGATGATGATGATGATGATGATGATGATGATGATGATGATGATGATGATGATGATGATGACTATGATGATGATGATAATGATGATCACCATCAATAACTTTTTGTTTAGGTGCCTAAACAAAAATTTAATGATCAAGAAGCACCATACTTTTTAATAGAAATGTCTCATGGAGATCCTTGTGATTTAACTGGTGAACCAAGACGAACATCAGTTTTTTACATATGCCATCAAAGTGCAGATAACGAAGTAATAACTTTAATTAGAATATATAAACATGTCTTTAGAACTAAATATTTTTGGTGTGATTAGACATTCTTTTGTATTTGGAGTGCTAGACTTGTTTCATTTATTTTCAAAATTATTTTATTATTTTTAAAGTTGAATTAAGTTGTACCTAGCAGTAAGTGCAGTAGCTTGCTGGCCCCAGAAGCTATGCAGGAATTCTGCATAAGTCTTAAGCTGTTTATCTTAGAAAAGCTTTTTGGAAAAAAGTTTTTTTTACTATACTCTAAAAATGATCAACAAATAAATTTTCATTCACTTTATTTATGGTTCTACAAATTAAATTCTTTACTGTCTGATTTAAAGTGTTAAACTTTGACCACAAGTATATTAGTATTTTGCATAATAAAGCGTAACCATTATCTAACATTGCACTATAAACAAAGTAGATATTTGGAAAATATATTTTTATTTACTACACACACAAATCACTGTCACCAATCATAAAAAATTTAAATAAATTGCATCAAGGGTTAAAATTACTCTTGTCAGAAAAGAATTCATGATCTAATTTAATTAAATTTTTAAGAATTCTCAATTGTATAAATAATGGATTGTTACTGTAGCACTTAAAAATTTTCTTTCACTTTAAATATTAAAAAAAACTATTTTTATTTTTTTATTACTTTAAGTAATAAAAAAATAAAAATAGTTTTTTTTCAATTAAAAAATTCCATCTTTTGATAGTTTTTAGTTCTAATATCATCATGATGCCTTATCTGATATTTCTGATATCAAAACTTTTTTATGCGGTCAAAATATTTGCAAAATGACGTTTATAAATGACTTTATTTTTCTAATTTCTCTTAATGAAATTAGATGAAATTTCTGTAAAAGAAAAAAGAAATTTAAATTTAATTTTAAATTATTTTTTAAATAAAAATGCTTATTATGCTAATAATCAAAGTTGCTCTAAAAAAAAAGAAAGGAATTGTTGTCAGACTAATAAAAGTCAGATTAAAAAAGTTTAGTTTTTTTCTAAATTACCATGTTGATAAAAAAAAAAAAAACTGTTTTCAAAGCATGAAAATTATTTTAAATTTGATTTGTGCTTTAAAATGTTTTGTTAAAATGCAAATACCCTTTAATATCTCTATCTTTAATATCAACATTTTTTGTTTGATTTTAAAGTAATGCCCATGTTTTTCAAAACAAAACTTCAAAAAAATTATATTTTTATAAGCCTTAAAGGGGTATCAGGCAAATTTTAATTTACGATAAAACTTGGTATATGTTAGTTATAGTTTAAATTAAGTGTTTATAATGTTTGGTTTTATTCTATTTTTAGTTACTTATTATTATAAAAATATTTTCAAAATGTTGTTTTAATAATTAACGTAGCGCAATAAAAATTATCCATTGATTTTTTTAGTCTCAAAAATTATCCATTAGTCATTCTACATTCTCTTAATCATTTAACCTTCATTTGAAAAGCTGTTCTTCTTATAGCTCAATGTAACGTTTAATATGTAGTTATGTGCTGTTATATGTAGTTATGTGCTGTTATATGTAGTTACGTGCTGTTATGTGTAGTTACGTGCTGTTATATGTAGTTACATGCTGTTATAAAATGTAGCATTTATATATTTATGGGCCTTCAAATCAAACATATATGGTAAAATCATGTATAATTTGGCCTTTTTAGAAAAAATGATAGCATAGTAAAAAGCTAAAAAAGTTTCATTAATAAAACACAATAACCTTAACATGTTTTAGCTTAACAGCTAAAAAATACATATTTGCATAAGACTTTATGAAAATGCAACTATTTAGATTAAGTGAAAAAACTTGCTGAAAATGCAACTATTTACATCAAGTGGAAGACTTTATTTTTTATCAAAACTGGGATGTTTGGTTTCATAATTAGCAAATTATAATAAATTATAAAACTATATTAGATATAGTATGATAAAATTAAACGATATCAATTTTGCATTAATAAAGGCAACTTAAAATCAATTTGACACTAGACAGTGTTTTGGGATTCTGATGATCTTAGGCGATAATCATTTATGCAATTCTTGTTCAAAGTATTTTGTGTTTTTTTCATAAACCTATGTTGGAAACAGCTGAGTTGTTAACAGCCAAGTTGTCAACAGCTTTATAAGACAAAATGCATGAAATCCTTCTTGGTTTTGAAAAAAACTGGTTTCTGAAACTGTAACCAAAGTCTTATAAAAGTATTCCAAATTTTTATCTAATGTTGTTATAGTAAAAACAAAACTTGCAAAAGAGTTAAAAAATTCAAAGATTGATTAAACTCGTTTTTTTGAAAGGATTCGGACATTATCCTTATGGGGTGTTCAAAAAAATAAAATTTACAAAATGCGAATACACAAAAAGCCAAGTTTGGAGCAAATATAAAAAAAAACATTACAAAAAAAAATTCAAAAAATATTGACTTTTTAGAATACCTTATTTCTCAGTGAATAATATTTTTCTACATAAAATCAAATAAACAATTTTTTTTTAAGTCAATGAATTTTTTAAATCTTCTTGTCAAATATATCATCAATTGCTGATTCAAAATCCAAAATTGAAATTGAGCAAGAAGAAGAATGAAAAAGAGATTAACATTGATTTTAAAGTTCAAAAAATTAAAGTTGTTTCTTTGGAATAAAGAGACGATACAATATACTTTTTAACAGTGCATTTGTTTATAGTTAGTTTAAATTTTGATTATTTTTTATACATTTATAGTGATATTGATGACTTTCTAAAAATACTTGTTTTTAACTTAAAAAATTGATAGTTTTTAGTTCGAAACCTAAAATATTAAGGAAAAATTGTACTGTTAAGTTCATTTTTTAATCCTATAAAATTCTTTATTTTGAGTTTTTTATTCTTAAGTAATTATATAGAATTTAAACAAAAAGCTCTGTATTATTGGTACAAAAATTTGTTTTCGTGATATTTTATTTGTAACTTTTACCTAAAATAAAGTTCTTCAGATAATGTTTTTTTTTTTTTTAATTGTAAATAATAGTTATTTGAATTTAGTTGCTGAGTATTAAAGAAGTAACTACATGTCATTATGAAGTAATTGTACTCACTTCAGTTCTTTGTTTAAATCCAAATTACAAGTAAGTTAATTAACTATATATATATATATATATATATATATATATATATATATATATATATATATATATATATATATATATATATATATATATATATATATATATATATATATATATATATATATATATATATATATATATATATATATATATATATATATATATATATATATGTACAAATAGTCACATTGCTTACTTTAGTTTTCCTCATTACAACTAAATAAAAATATAGTTAGGCTTCAAATGTTTTATTTAATTTTAATATTTGTTTGCATTATTAACATGATGGTATCTTTGGGGCATACTTTAAACTAATTTTGTTAACAAGGTTACTTCCAGAGAATTATAACCATTAAGAAGTGTATACCTGGTCCATATATTTTACTGTGGCATATGTCATACATAAAGCCTAACATAAAATATTAATGATGTTTTATGTTAGGCTCTCACTCTCGCCCACACTCCCTTAAAGTGGTATATGGAAGCAATTTATGGCTCTTGCAGAAGTATAAATTTTTTGTATTAAAAAAAGTAATTGGAATAAAAAAGATACTTTATAATATAAGTTATTTTATACTACAACAGTTTTGTTTTTAATAGAGCAGAATTTTGGTATTGTAAATGTAATTTTTTCACAGCGCTATAAAATGATTCTTCTTGTTATATATTCTTGTTACAAGCATATGGTTGTAACAAGTATAAAATTAAGTTTTATATTTAATAAGCAAAAAATAGATAAAAATAAATGAAAAAATAGATAGCTTGTGCAAAAAAGCTCTTGTAAAAAGCTGTTTAAAGGAGCAGCTCGTATAACTTTCTATGTTCCCTTTAGGAGAGCTTTTCTCTGCTCTTGCACTTATTTACTCCCATATATGTTAAACAAAATGGAAAAATAATGACTGAAATTTCATAAAAGCTAGATCAATATTTTTTAAATTTCTTTAAAAAATTAAAATTTTTAATAAGGAAAATTTTATAAGTTGTTATTATTATTATTCTTTGCTGGTAGGATTACTTAAAATATAATTAACAATTAAAATATCAATATATTAGAATTAAAACAAAGACTGTACATGAAATAAAATGTCATGCACTTGGCGATTCACCAAGGTATATAAGTTATTTTTTTTCTATGTTTTTATATATATTGTTTATAAATATATAGTTTTTAATTATTTTTATTTTGTATTATGCATAACTGTACAAGTATGTAAAAAAAAAAAATTTTCTGTTATTTTTTTTAATTTTTGATTTAAAGATTTTAATTAAAAAAATTTTTTTTTTTAAATTATTATCTGAAATTATTTAATAGTAAACCAATGAAACTCACAAGTGAATACAAACAACTCTTTCCTTCAGTAGTAAGTAACTTATTTTAATATATATATATATATATATATATATATATATATATATATATATATATATATATATATATATATATATATATATATATATATATATTTTTTTTTCTATAGTTTTATAGTAATATCACCACCACCATTATCATCATCATCATCATCATCATTATCATCATCATTAATATCATCATTGTTATATGTTTTTTATTGCAATGAAAAAACACCGCACAATTTTGAAATTTAGCTGTATTGCTTGGATTTTTTTTTTATATATTATTAATCAAAAAGACATAAACTTTTTAGATGTTAGTTTTGAAATAAATTTTGTTGCATTACAGAATAAATCAAAAAGGAGGGTTTATTCATGGGACCATTTAAATGACAATTGGATGTTTTTTTTATTCCTCTTTTAATCAAATCATGAAGGAAAAAAATCCTTCCGCCTTCAAAATCTTTGACAATTTTTATATCATTGTGATATTTTTAAAAGGATCCCTAAGTGCTCAGAAAAGTTGTGTTCATGTTGAAGAGAATTTTAAAATGTTTGGACTTATTTTTTCAATTAAAAGAAAATAATAAACTTATACCAAAAAAACTAACCCTGTTTTTTTAGTTGAAGCTGGCATTCTTCATTTTTGTCATAATTTTAAGTCTTTAAAATTAACGTTTTTTTTTTATGCTATCTACAGACCTCATAATTTATTCAAGCCCATTTAATTCTAAAAATTTTAAGTATATGATGTCATTGTACAGTTTTTATAAAAAATCTTGAATTTCTTTATAGTTTTTTTCCATAAATTACCAAACAATTTGTTTTGTTTTTTTCTAATATTTGAAAAATTCTCATTAAAAATATAAAATATTTCCTAAATATTATAGGCTTGTTTATTACTATAAATTGGTTTTGTGTTGTACTTATTGATTATTATCTTTATCAAGATTATGTTAAAAAGGTGTTTTGTATGTTAAATAAAATGATTTGTATTATTTAAGCTTATAAAAGTGTAATTAACAGCATTTATTTTGTTTACTCTTCATTGAGTACACATATTCTCAAAAATGTTATTTAGTCATGTGAAAATATATTTAATAAAATTTATTTTGTAAAACATGTATTCTTTATAATTTTTTTTTATTAATACAGCATACATTAGTTGAAATTTTAAAAAAGGTAGGCATTATTTATAATATATATTTAATAAAATAAATATTATTTAAATTGATATAATAAATATTGTATATTTCTAATAAAATTTAAAAAAGCAACGATACTAATTTATTTTATATTATTTTACAAATATATTTTGATATTTAGTGAAAAATAATACAAACATAAGTGATTTTCTGATTTTATGTGGAAAAAAAATATTTTGATGTTTCAAAAAAAAAATCCTACAATGACATTTTTTATACCAAAACTCTAAAGAAATAAACATGCTTGAATAAATTAAAGTCTGTAATTTATGTCATTTTTAAATACAGTTTACTAAATTTTAACATGTTGAATGTTTAAAAACATTTTAATATTTAAAATGAAAAAGGTTTCTCTATAATAATAAGTTTTGCAAAACAAAAATTAAAATTGTTTTGCCTGAATTCCAACTATGGTAGATTTAAGCATCAAAAGGAAAAATGCAAAAAACCAGTTCCAACTAAAGTATACACAAATTTCTGTTTAGGAATAATTACCCCTAAAAAGCATCAAACATTATGTGGCAAAGTAGATGAACAACGAACCAATCTCTTGTAAGTCTGGATTAGGCAGAAAATGAGAAATTATGACTGCTAGGAACATCACATAAATGCATAAACTTACACATAAGTTCTGTAACCAGGAATTTATTTTCAACCTAAAAATGGAAATAATAATTGGTTTAATTAAGTTTATAATAGTTCAATTAAAATACTTATTAAAAGTTTTATTATGATTTGATAAGCTAATTAAAAGAAAATGCTGAAACAAAGTAAAAAATAATCACGTACAAATATAGAAAAATATTCCAAAGTTTCACTACGATCAATTGTGAAAAAAAAAAATGAAGTTGTCTTGTGCCTCCAATCTTGACTATGTTAAACAATACAAGAATGAGTTGAGCATCATCAGAAACCTTCATCAGGTGATCATCACAACATCAAACCTTCATCAGGTGATCATCACATCATCAAAGCAAAATCTGAGTATTTCTGACAGAGATCAAACTTAAAGATATGACAGAGATCAAACTTAAAGATATGACAGAGATCAAACTTAAAGATATGACAGAGATCAAACTTAAAGATATGGAATATCACTCATCAGCAGAATACAGTGGGAAAAAAAACAAGCATTGTTGCATGATAAAATCTTAATTAAACATGGTGGTTGTTTATTGCTTGATGATGAAATATATGTAAAATGTGACTTCAACTAAGAAAGTTCCCATCAAGTGTTGTATTTATAAATAACAGGCGACCAAAATGTTTGTGCAGCTCTGAAGGTTAAAAACAATAACAATTTAGATTATTTATTCTTAGAAATTAATTACCTTCAGCAAGTATTACCTTTTCCCATCTAGACACAAGTCACATATCTTTATTTTTATAGAAATCTTGTTTTTGAGAATTGAAATAGTGTATCAAGTTGTTTTTCAAAATCTCTCTATTTTGAAATTGTCATTTCTGCATATGTTTGTCCACGTCAATATCTGGTCAAAGAACAACACTAACTTGTGTCAGGAAAGCAATGATGAATAGATTGTTTAGCTTGTTTGTTTCACTTAATTCATGTAGTACCCATTTGCTAAACTTCCATTGTTTCCCAATCTGGTGCAAATGTATGCAAATAGTTTAATCATTCGAATTAAATCTTAATGCAAGACCTTGGCATGTCTGACTTAAATCTTGCTCGATTGCCAGTTTGATATCTTCGTTATTGGTTGTTGACAGTCTTTTGGAATGAAGTTCATTTTCTAGATTATCATCTTTAGAAGTAAATTTTTAAAACCACTTATTTGTTTTTATATCAACAATTCGTTTTTATATCAACAATGACAAACTTCTGTACTTTGGGATTTTTGATTTCATAAAGTTTATTTGGTAAGTTTGAATTCATAAAGTAAACAAGTACAAATTATTGCATATAAAACAGCATACTCTACATAATTACTTAGGTTCTACCTTTAATAATATTCTACTTAAAAGGCAATTAGCGAAGTTTAAGTTGGAAAAATGTCGATTGTTAAGGCTTCTAAATTTTTTGAAGTACCCAAAACAATAAATTAAAAAATAATATAAATTAAAAGATTATATTATTTAAAATTATCTAACTTATTAAATACACTGAATGATACTCTTTGAAATAATCTTTAACTTACATTCAAAATACATATATACAAACATCAAAAGTAAAACAAAAAATTAAAAAAAAAACCTTTATCTTCTTAAAAATATCAACATTTGTACAATATACTATATAGTTGTTACAATATAATAAATCTCTTCTGTTTAAACTACTTTTTATAATATAAAATTATTAATAATAAATTATTATAAATTGTTGTGATATATATTGTGTGTATATATATTTTTAATAATATAAAATGTTTTTTTGTTTAATGTTATACCAACTAAGTTTTTAAAGTTACATTTGCAAATAAAAAAGTAATAAAATAACATTACTGGCATTCCACAACTAGTAAGTGGTTATGCAAGATAATCAACTAAAATCTAATATTGTTTTAACTTTGAGAATGTATGTAAATGTAAGGGTTGATAAAAATTGTGCTTTTTTTAAAAAAAGATAAACAAAAATTGAATTTTTTTGATTTAAATCAGATTTTTTTGATTTATATTTCATTTACAAAAAAGAACTTCTATTCACATACTGTGACAGCCAAAAAATGAGCTGGGGTCATTTCCTGCTGTATTTATTTAGATAACTTCTACTTAGCATCTTGGCTAAACTTGGGACTTAATTCTCTCTGATAGTTTTTCTATATCACTACACTGTTACACTGTGTCAGGTGATAGTACAACTGTCCTGCTGCATCAGGTCTAAAACAACAGCAATTGGTTTAAGCATTTGTAACCGTTCTTCTGCACTTCGCTTTACTCCAAGACTACTATTTATTTACTACAATTTATTATTTTAACATTCTTATCAATTATAATTGATAACTGGCCAATTCTGCTAACAATTTGTGAAGAAAACAGAGCAATAATTATTGCTCTGTTTTCTTCACAAATTGTTAGCAGAATTGGCCAGTTTTTTTTAGATAATTCAAGACAATTAGCTGATGTGTTCCATGTGACATCTTTTGGCATTATAAGTTGTAACCCCTCTTTTGCTTTACAATAGCAAAGTGGTAGTTTCTAATATATTTAACAACTTGAACTATTTGCTCCTTGATGTTTAGAATTGCCAAATCCTGGACCAATATATTTAGAATATGAGCTGAGCATCTATACGTTAAAATCATAATATATAATAACATCATCTCGAGTTTCCAATTGCTGTCTCATTTTGACACATTTGCTGCGTTATCAGTTACTCAGCAAACTTTACAACCAAATTGTTTTTCGCACTTGTTTATAAAATTAACAGCAACGTCAACAAATAATCAGAAGTATGTGAATAGCCGAATATATCTATTGTATCTGCAAAATAGATATCTGAATTCTTTGTTATTACTGTTGCACAAACTATTGGATCATTTTGGACATTGCTTCAACCATCAATACTTATGGTTATGGTCATGAAGCAAACCTGAACAGTTATTCAAACTGTTCTTGTGAACAGTATCTAGTAGTTTTCCACCAAAACCAATTCTATTAAGAGGGTTACATCCTGGGCATAAAAAATTTTTATGCCTAGGATATAAATGAATAGTTTAAGTTTTTTTAACAGAACATTGACTAGTTTGTGCTTCCTCAGTTGCCTAGGTGGTATTTTCTACAGTGTCTTGACAAATAATGTTTTCATCATTCAACGTCTTTCTGAAAGAGTTTACCAATTATCTTTACATTTACCAAGACTTCTTTGGTTTTTTATTCATGCAACCAAACCTTGCATTTGTACACCTCAGCTTTTGTATTTACCTTTATTACTACTTTTCCCAAACTTTGCAGGTATTCTTTCAAATCATGTCTAAACTGCATCTCTTTTACTACCAGCGCCAGACATTTTTATTTCTAGTTATATTATTTTTATTTTAACTAAAAAGTAACAAGCAATTATAAATAAATCTTTGAAAAAACTCATATAAAAGGAATATATTTATGTTTATTATATAAATAGTAATAAAAATAGAAATTAAAGTTATTAGTCTATAGGTTAAAACATAAAAATAAAAAATTTACTCAAATGGATAAAAATCTTATAATAAATTTAAAAATTAATATAATGATTTATATGACTAATATATATTATATAGTATAAGTTATAATATTCAGGTAATTGCATTACCTGAATATTATTACTTATACTATATTATTTAAGAGTTATTTTTAGCTAGTGCAGTTGACTTTAAGCTTGATGAATCAATAAATAATCAGTAAAAACAGTAAAAATAAAAAAAATCATTTAAATCATAGTTTTTATTTGTTTAGTATAAATAAAAACAAGTATTTAGTGAATGAGTTTGTAAATGTATAATGTATTAAGTACATTTATTTTACATATGATCTAGTGATAATCAGATTTGAATTTTGATCAAATAAATTTTGTGCTGGCTAACAAAGAAAAACTTAATCGAGCTGCTAAAGCAAACATGGAGTTTTGAATAACAGACAAAACAGTTGCAATAACAAACAATGGCTTTTTTACCAAACAAATGCAATATAGAACATTTGAGTTGTGTTATTGCACATTCATACAACTATCATTTTTGTCATGATTATCATCATTTTCTTCCATCCGTTCATCATTATCATCATCATAATCATTATTTTTATTATTATTATATCACAATCATCATAATTATGACCAAGTAAACGTATTTTGAGTGAAAATGAAAGACTATATCTTTTTATACACACAAATGAATGCTAATTTTAGTAATGCAATATTTAGGCTCCCATTGTAACTGAACAACCCTTGCATCGTGCTAAAGCTAAACCAAATATAGACCTTGATATAAATAGACGATTTTTAAATGGAGAATTCTGTTTAACTGGGGTAAGAAATTTATAAATTTTTTTGCGTAATTATAAAGAAATTTTACATTCGTATCTAAAATGTTTTTGTTTAAAATCTTTTGTTTGCTCTGATAACAGGGAACTGGTTGGTGGCAATATGAATTTTGTAATGGAAAATTTGTTAACCAATTTCATGTGGTAATTTCTTCTTTACTTGAAATATAATATTTTATTTCTAGAGGTTTTTTCAATCAAATTTTTTTTTAATGTGATTTTTTTAGTTTTTAAAAATTTCTATAAGATATTTTTACAAAGCATAACTGATAAAATATTTTTTAGGAAGCAAACAGGAGAACTGCAACAATAAGACTAGGTTCATGGAATAAAGAAGTATTTTTTTAATATATTTTATATATATATATATATATATTTTTTTTTTTTATTCTTGTTTCTTCTATTTGAGAAAAAAGTTATAAGCTTTAAACTATTAATTGACTTTTAAATTAATTGAGTTTGATTTATTAATTGAGTTTAATATTTAAAAAGTATATTAGTTTTATGCTTTTATTTTCTCTGGTTTATCTATTATTTATTTTATCATTGATTGAGACATTAAACTGTAAGAGGTTGGTATCAGCTCAGCAAAAAAATTTGACTTAAAGGTTTTACCATAGAAGATACAAACAAGGTCTGTGGTTTTTTGCCAACCTCAAACACATTAAGGTTGGCAGTTAGGTCGAATAGCATTGCCGAATGTTGATCCTAATTCCAAGGGCTGATATATATCTTACTGCATCAAATTGTAGCTGCTATTTCAGACTTCGATTTGCCTGATTTACCTAGTTCAGCAATTCATTTTTGAAAATGTCAAATTTGATTTGTCTGTAACTTTACCCATCTAAAATATATATATATATATATATATATATATATATATATATATATATATATATATATATATCAGGGGCTATTCTAGACCGTTTTTCAAAGCGCTGACCGTATTTGGGTGCTGATTTGAATGCCAAATTGAGAAACTTTTTGTTTCTCGATTTGGCATTCAAATGTTTTGTTGCAAATATTGTTTTTTTACAAAAAAAATGCCTAAATTAGGCAATGTTTCTGCCAAATTTTTTTACGGCAAGCGCTGGCTTGGGGGTTACCTCCATCCAAATTACTTTCCTTGAATAGCCCCTGTATATATATAAGTTTTTTAGCAATTCCTCTGCCTTGAAAAATACATTTAAAAAAAAAAAAATTTATATACAAATCAAATCTTTAGGAGCATATCAAATGGTTCAAATCAAAGAAGAACGTATCAAAAGAACGAAAGTAGTGTATTTTTAGATGTTTTAATTTTAAATCGTAAGCATTTTATTTTGGTATATTCCAAATTTTGGATTTAGGCATGTAGTACACCTTTACACTGGTGGAGATTTCTGTGATCTGATTGGAGAACCAAGAAAAGCATTTGTATACTTAATGTAGGTATTGTTTGCATGTGCTGTTATATATATATATATATATATATATATATATATATATATATATATATATATATATATATATATATATATATATATATATATATATATATATATATATATATATATAAATATATATATATATATATATATATATATATATATATATAAATATATATATATATATATATATATATATATATATATATATATATATATATATATATATATATATATATATATATATATATATATATATATATATATATATATATATATATATATATAGTTAGTTAGATAGTCATGAAAAAAAAACACAAAAAACTTAACGTTGAATTTGTGTTAATAAGTCCCTATGTAATAAGTTAAAAATATTAAAAAATATTAATAATTCTGAACGGGAGGTAATCCACTGGTATTCAGAGTGGTAGCCCTCCTATAAAGATCAACTCAACATCAAAGAAGTAATCCACTAGTGTTTGTAGTGGTTGTTTCTTTTTCATTTCATTGGTGGAAATCGAGGATTGAGATATGACTAAACTCACTGACCAACAAAAGAACTGTATGGCTTTGATGATTAACAAAGCAATTGAAGAGCTAAAGGATGACTCTCAAGTGAAAATAAATCAACAAACTAAACTATTTGAATTAAAATTAAAGGAAAAAGATGCCGAAATAGCTGAACTTAGCGAAAAAGTAAAAAGACTAGAAGAAAAAAATGCAAATTTACCACCTAGTTCACCTGCTAATATTTACAGCCAAATTGCTAAGCAATTAGCCAAACCAGGTTCTGAGCTATATAATGCTAGCATCAAAGTGTCAAAAAGTCATGAGATATTATCCAGTAAAAAGTCTAAAAATGTTGTAATTGTTCTGTTTGCCTAACTCCCAAAAAACTATAAATGAGGATCATAAGACAGATGACAAGAACATGGTCAAAGAATTAATATGTTTGCTGAACAGATGGATAATAATAAAATCAACATTCACATTAAAATCTAAATTTCCCTTGGTAAACAATGCATCAGAACCATTAGTTGTCGAATTTAAGAATGAAGTAGCACAAAACAAGATGTTGGCTGCTGCAAGGAAACTGTCAACAATTGAGGCGTACAAAAAAGTATATATACAGCCTGATCGTACTCCTGATGAGCACAATTAAATAAAGAGAGAAAGGAGGCAAACGAGGACTTGCAACGCAATAGTAACCTAGACCAGCCTTTTTGATTTCTCATTAGTAGCGGAAAATTACTGTGTATCGATGTCACTACAACAAAAGACATTTGCAACCGCAAAGTTCACCCATTTGTCAAAGAGAGCGTTGCCAAGAAGACCAGGAGGGGCTCATATCAGCCAATCTTATAAATCTTACCAGAATTTAAGTAATGTAGAACTTCCTATTTATTTAAAGCAAAATAATAATACTAACTATAAACCAATCAAGTTTTGTTACACTAATGCTACCTCTTGTAACTCTGATAAATTATCTGAGCTATCCACACTTGCTTTGACATACAATATGGGTGTTATTGCAATTACAGAAACTTGGTTTAAATTAGATTCGATTAAAATAATTGATGGCTATGAACTTTACCAGGCAGATAGAGATAAAATTGGAGGGGGTGTTGCCTTTATGTAAATAAAAGACTTACAAATATAGAAATTGTAAATGTGCATCTTAACAAGAAAGAGATTGAACAAGTCTGGTGCTTAATAAAGTGTAGTAATTTTCATTTAATAATTGGTTGCATATATAGACTACCAATAAATTGTAATAATTTTCATTTAATTGTTGGTTGTGTATATAGACCACCAAACTCTACAGCTGATTACTCAAAATTGATTCTAGACTCAATCAGAACCGCTTCAAAACTTAAAAGTGGAAAAAAATACACTGATCTCGTAGTGGTAGGAGATTTCAATTTCCCTAATATAGAATGGACAGATGATGGTCCAATAATTCATTAAAAAAAAAATACTCAATTGAACATGAATTTATCAAAGTTTTAAATGATTGTTCTCTTTACCAAATAGTAAATTTTCCAACATTTAAGCAAAGTGACTCTGTTTCTGCAGTTGACACCCTTGATCTTATTTTAATTTGCAACCCAAATCGCATTGATTTTCTTCAATGTGGTCCACAGTTAGGCCACAATGAAAAGGGAAGATACCATTACTCCATCACTTGGCAATATTTTACTAGTTTTAGTGACAATACAGTACTCACAAAAATAAGTTTTGCTTTAAAAAAGGTAATTTTTTTCAAATTAATAATAAATAATTGAAACAAGTCAACTGGGTTGAGCTATTTTATGAAAAATCAGCCTGTGAATGTTATGAGCTATTTTTGCATACATATAATGAATCTTGTCGATTGTTTATTCCTATTTTGAATAATAAAAAAAGAACAGTCAACCCTGGTTGGATGCAAAAGTTAAAAAAGCAATAAAGATTAAACATTCTATATTTTATTTGAGTTTGCATCGGCTAAGTCAAGAATCTCGAAAGGCTTTTAACAACATGTGTGCTAATGTTAAAAAGCAAATCAAAAGATCAACTCGAGAATATGAAATAGATTTAGTAAAGAGAGCAAAGCTTGCACCAAATCTTTTATTCTTACACGTAAATAGAAAACAAAATGTTAAATCTCAAATTAGAGCAATCAAGTATAAAAAAGATCAAGTTTCAACTGAAATATCAGACATTTCAGATATATTAAATAAGCAATTTCAGTCAGTCTTTGTTAATGATAATGAACAAATAATACCCGAGTTCTTGCAAAGATGTGAAAACCAGTGTGATTGCAGTAAATTATCTAATATGATTACCTATGAAAAAATTCTCAAAATTTTAGAAGGTATAGATGAGTCAAGAGCAATGGGTTTTGATGAAATTAGTCTGTTTGTTTTAAAGCATGCTGCAGAAGGTTTTGTGGACCCAATTATTCATATTTTCAAATTAAGCTTTAACACTGGATGTGTCCCTTACCACTGGTCTGTTGCAAATATATCACCAATTTACAAAGGGGGATCAAAACTTGAACCAGAAAACTACAGACCAGTATCCCTAACATCTGTGATTTGTAAAATGTTTAAAAAGCTTGTTCAGGACACAATTCTGGAACACTTAGTTTCAAATAGACTTATATCTGAGGAGCAAACTGGTTTTGTTCTAAACAAATCATGCACAACAAATCTTATTGAGACATTTGACGCAATTACATTTGAAACTGCAAAAGGTAAATCGTTATGCATAATATATCTTGACTTCGCAAAGGCTTTTGATAAAGTAGAACACAAAATATATAACTAGATTAAAAGTTTTCTTGCAAATAGGAAACAAAGAGTTGCTATTAGTAATACAGTTTCAGAATGGGTATCTGCTACCAGTGGTGTACCTCAGGGTTCTGTTTTGGGTCCAATACTGTTTCTGCTATTCATAAATGACCTGCCAGAAGTTGTGTTAAGCACATTTAAAATGTATGCTGATGATAGCAAAATAATAGCCATAGAAGATTCCATTGATAAACGAGCAGAAATACAAACCGACCTTGACAACATTGTGAATTAGTGCAACAATTGGGGTATGGAACTAAACTACAAAAAATGTAAGGTGATGAGATTCCGCAATCAGAAAGTTTTTCAAGGCATTGATAAAACATACAATGAATATAAATGGAATGATTTATGACCTCTCCAACAGTGTATTAGAAAGTGATCAAGGTGTTTTTGTACAACCAGATATGAGGTGGAAACATCAAACACAAGTATGTGTTAACAAAGCTTCAAAAATACTGGGTTTATTGAAAAATGCCTTTGAAAGTAGAGATATGTTATATGTGGAAAATTTTATATACTACTTGTGTGCAACCTCATCTTAAATTTGCGGCTCCAGCGTGGAGTCCTCCAAATGTGGCAGAAATCTTAATGCTTGAAAGAGTTCAATGCAGGGCTACAAAAAAACCATACTCAAACTGAATGCTAAGTTATGAGAAATGGCTAGTTAAAATGGATTTAACTACTTTAAATCTCAGAAGAAAACAAGGAGACCTTATTCATTTATACAAGATATTAAACCGTTTAGAATTTGTCAATCTGAATACAGTGTTTTACTCCTCGCGAAATAAATGACTTTTATGCATTGGTTAGTTCCAGAATCCATTTCTTCACAAACAGAGTGTTCCAAATTTGGAACAAACTTCCTGAAATAGTTGTAGATTCCGAGAATTCAAATAGTTTTAAAGCAAGTTTGGACAAATGGCTTAAGAAAAATGAGAAAATATTTATTAAAAAAAAAAAAGAAAAAAAGTACTGGGCTGCTATAGCTGAACGTTACAACGTCTCAGCTTGTGGGTAAGATCCACACAGTTTACCACTAACTAACTAACTATATATATATATATATATATATATATATAAATATATATATATATATATATATATATATATATATATATATATATATATATATATATATATATATACATATATATATATATATATATATATATATATATATATATATATATATATATATATATATATATATATATATATATATATATATATATATATATATATATATATATATATAATATTTTTCAGTAATATTTTTCATATTTTTTCTGGTCTCTAAAATATAATTAGATGAAATTAAAAAACTGCAAATAAATTTAGTTTAAGATAGTGAAACTAAATATTTTGTTAACTATGTTTTATTAATTATGTTATAAGATGGTTTTATTAACTCAGTGCTTTTTCATAAATTTGGCAAAAGAAAAATTTTAACTTATCGTGTAATATTTTTTTAAGAATTCAAAAAATTTTTCAAAAATTTGGTTTTGGAGTCGAAGTCATACTCTGAAAATTTCAATGACTGGAGTCAGTGTCAGTACTTTTTTTTTACAACTCCATACCCCTGACTTAAGGCTAAGAAAAATTATAAAGAATTTTTCAAGACACGACTAATAAATTTGTCTACTAAACAATAACTATTTGTAATTATTTATTGCTTAATTTTAACAAAATAACAATTAAAATAATTTATAACAAAAATTATGTTTATACTTTTAAACGAGAGTGTGTAATAAGCTAACTCTATATCAACCGGTGACTTTATACTTTATACTGCTTTCAATATATTCCACTTTATGTCTACTTTTACTTGAGTTTTGTTCAGAAAAGGCATTTTTTTAAAATGCTTTTTGATTGTAAAAAAAAGTTGCTGACCAAATGCTGCTGGGCATATTGTAGGGAGGTGAAGTTGTGCTAGATTTTGTACACCTAAAGTGCACATTTTACTTCAAAATATGATTTAAAAACTGTTTTTGATAAATGTAGGAAACTAGGAATTAATTTGAAAAAAGAAAATTAGAGATTTCTCAATTAAAAGTCACTTTATTAAAGAATGTTTTCTCTATATTAATTTCTCTCTATAAAATAGATTTACAAAGTCTCGAAATAGTAGTTGTATATTTTTATAAAGTTTAAAAAAATTTTTTAAACTAATTGCGTCATTTTGTAAAAAATCTTTTAATTGAGTTTTTGCTCAAATAAAAAAAAAGCAACTTGATGTTGGAAAGTTTATAATGAAATTACTTTGATTTGACTTGAATAAATGGTGATTTTTCAAATAGAGCTGTTCTTATTCGATTCAAAATATCAAAGCTTTGAAGGGTCTATAAAATGGTATATTAGATGAGATGTAATATAGGTATATTATGGGCAAAAGTTGTTTGCCAAAACCTAAATATTCATTCAGAGTATATATTTAAGTACCTGATATGCATTTTCAACAGACAATCTTGTTTTAATGGACAATTTGTATA